GCTCTGGTGAAGCTGGCGGCCCGGATCCGAGGGCTTCTCAACATCTTCCAGCCAGCGGGTCAGAAGGAGCTCCAGCCAAGCGCCCTGACGGAGACCCTGCACCCCAGATGAGGCGAGGGGAGGCAGCAGGTGTGGGTGAGTGGAAAGGGCACACCGCCCACACAACGGGATGGCCGGCCCATGGCCAGATGACCCTTCCCAAGGCAGTGTGACTCAAATGCTGGGTCCCTCAACCAGGCAGAAGGGGGCACGGGGCCGGGCCCCGATCCGCCATCTCCATCCAGCAGTCTGGGCCTGCTTAGGCTGGCAGCCCCCAGTGGAGCGCTTCAGGCAGCCAGTTCTCCTTCTGAGCCCAGGGCACCCAGAACCAGCAGCGCCTGCAACTCTCCCAGAGGAGCCTGGCAGCCGGGGCAGTGCCTCCTCCCATGGCCAGGGGCCTCCCTCCAACACCCAGCGGCAGGCAAGGCTTCTCTTCTGTTGCCCACTGAGGGCCAGGCTCATAAGTGGAGTGAAGCTGCCGGTCAGCCCCAGCCAGACAGGCGGGAGAGAACCAACCCAGACCGGTTCAGGGAGGAGCCCACAGGAGATCTGGGAGGGCGGGGATGGCCACAAAGGCGCCCGCCGGGGGCTCCTGGCAGAGGGACCCCTGTGGGCCCGAGAGCTGTCTCCCTCAGAGAGAGAAAGCTTCAGGCCTTCAGACCAGCTGCACCACCAGCCCCAACGGCCTCCTGCAATTCCAAAGGCCCCGGATGCAGAACCTCCTCCGCCTCAGGGAGATGCAGCAGACATGATGTTTGAATGAAGGAACGAACGGCTGCTGTCCTGGCCACGTCACTGCATTGCCCAGAATTCACTCCTGGTCCTGTCTGGCTGCTTAGGAGCGTGTGCCCTTCCTGCCCCTGCCTCCGAACGCAACCCAGCCTCCAAATGGTTGCTCATTTGTGGGTCTGCAGCAGAGGAAACCCATTCCCCGTCCCTCTGGCTGGCATCCAGCTCAGGGTCATGATCTCTCAGCCTTGAGAAGGGAGCCGTGCAGGGCGAGAGTTTCCGCTGCCAGGCAAATGTGTGGAATTCAAGAGCGCAAGAAGAACATAGAGATGACCTTGGGGAGGGAAGGAAGGAACTGTTAAGGGAGGAGAAATGGCAGCTCAGTCCTGGGAAAGAGACTCAAAATAACCCCACCTTGAGCCTGTTTGGTGTAAGAAGGGACTCTCCTGTCACACCCTACAACAATAGAGTAGAATTCCTGGAATCCTGGCGGTGCCTGTTTCTTGACCTGGCATCCTTGAAGGGCCGAGATCTATCTCAAAATCAAGGCAGGGTTATTGTGAGTGACTTTCCACTTTCTCAGAATGGAACTGCTGTTTCTCCTCCCTTAATGCTTCCTTCCTTCCCTCCTTCCCTCTCAAGGTCATCTCTATATTCCTTTCGACCTGGGAAAGCACAGCACCAATCAGAGCAGCTTCTTCACCAGTTAAGAAACCCAGACGCCGAGAGCAGTTTCTGTGGCCACTCATCAATTTCCAATCAAATTTCTTCCTTCCCACAATACCTTCCTTTCCACAGTAGATAACTGGTTTACCAAAAACAAAAAAGCAAAAACCTACAGAGCATCCATGAGGTTCTGTGCTCAGAAGCCTTTGTTCTTCTGACAAAGCTGTTTGATCAGAGCTGGATGAGTCAACAAGCTAAAGAAGCCCAAACACGAGATGTTCACAAAACTGGGGTAGCACAGCCTCCAACTGCCCATCACCAGGCAATAATTTCGACCACAATGCCGGCAGTGAAGAAACAGTGTTTGGCACATGTAATTAATTGGTTGAATGCCAAGGCAGTTATCAGTTATCTGTAGGAACCCTCGACTATTTTGAGAGAAGAACTCCTGTCTTCATGAAAGATTCCTTTTGGAAGTGGGGTGGTGGTGGTGCAACTTCCTCCATGTCCCAACAAGTTGACCATCCACCTACAGTAGCTAAAGGTCCAGCCTCCCCTCATCCTCAACCTAAACTGATTCTCCTCGGCATTCCACAAGCACTACAGTTGGACAGGATCCAAAGAGGTGACCACAATGACATCCTGAGTTATCATCTGGGAACAGCTGGACCCTTCTG